TGTGCCGCTAAGGGCTGGGCTTAGCCCTGTTCTTGAACAAATGGCTGAACATAAGCAAGATTTAGGAATGACCTATATCTGTCAGGCATAATGTTAGAAATACTGCGTCAACACAGCTGTTACTGCCCCTTTTCCCACCAGTATCCCAACTCCAGCAGCTAGTAAAGACTTGAAATTGTGGAAATGTACATCTACAGTAATTCATTTAAGTTCTGTGTTTTGATCCTACACCATCCTCTGTGCTCCCAAAATAAAACCACAGTTGACCACATATTTATGTTCCTTGAGGCCTTGCAGTTTCTGGCAAATGTTCTAATCAGAGCTAGTTTATTATTAAACCAGAAAGCTAAATTTGCTTTTTTTTTTTTTTAACTTAAATTTTGTTGAGAATATGAAGATGAGCTTTTGCTTTGTTTTCTAATGTTGTTGTTATTATTTTTTTAATCCTCACCTGAGGACATGCTTAGAGAAAAGGGGGAATATCGAGAGAGAAACCCTGATTGGTTGCCTTCTACTTGCTTCCTGACTAGGAATCGAACCAGCAACCCTTCAATGCATGGGACAACACTGAACCAGCTGAGCCACCTCAGCCAGGCTAGATTTACTTTTTTTTTTATTCTGGCTAATGGAACTGGTGATTTTTAAACCTTTTACTCATCACTTCCTACTGTTGGGATTTCTGGACTTAGCAAAAGTTACTTAATAGCTTCAGTTTCCACTCAGGTTATCATAATCTTCTTAGCCCACTTTTTAAACTTAAACACCATTTAGTTCACAAGCCACTAAGGATGATGCACAGCAAGCATATCAAACTCAAAGGCTAACAACGGGCCAAATAAACAAGGTTTAAGTTTATATGGGCCGCAAAAAAACAAAAAGCTTCAATTTTCATAGAAGCTTAGGTTTATTTCGATAGAGACCATGCTGAATACAAAGGGCTGAAATAAATGAGTAATAGTTAACATAAAATGATAGAACATCTTAATAAAAATTAATATTTTTTCTTGAACACTAACTTACCAGACACTGAATAACTGCACAAATTAATAAGCATCATGGAAATAAATCTATTTTTCTTGTTCTCCGAAAGCGAAATATTTCCTTATTGCACACACCAAACACGTCAGTCCAAGACTAATGACATGGCGGTCGGCTGGTAAAATATTTGCTGCTAATAGTGGAGAGAAATGGTGCACTTGCGCGTAAGGCACCTAAGGGAAATCAATGCAACATGATTACAGTAATCAGTCATTAGCAAACGTTGTAGTTCGTTATTAATAATTATGTGTAACAGGATATTAAAAAATTAAGTTATGGAATATTTATTAAAACGTTTCTTACATACCGTTATATTGGCTGGGCTGCAAAAATATTCGTTGTGAACCCCGCGAGTTTGACATGCTTGATGTACAGTATTATACTGTACATCAGAATTGAAATTCTTTTATGCCTGTTTATTATAAGCATTACTGCTAACATAACATTATAGTGCTGGTAGAAGTATTGGAAACCAGCAAGTTGGGAGTGTTGTCTTTATAGATCTTATTCTTGTAGATTGTCTTGTTTCTAGCTAGTTTTTATAAAGATATTTTCTTCTCTTCCCTTCCCAAAATTGGTGTTTTTCTTCTCAGTGACGCCAAGTCCTGTGAAAGGCAAAGGGAAAGTGGGTCGCCCCACAGCTTCAAAGGTATCAAAGGAAAAGACTCCTTCTCCCAAAGAAGAAGATGAGGAGCCGGAAAGCCCTCCAGAGAAGAAAGCCGCGGCCAGCCCCCCGCCCGAGAAGTCTGGGGATGAAGGGTCCGAAGATGAAGCCCAATCTGGGGAGGATTAAAAGTGATGATGGTTTGGGAGAGATTTTATTTAAAAAAAGAAAAGAAAAAAAAAAGGAAAAAGGGGGGCAAAAAAGAAAACTACATAAAATAGAACATGGTTTTGGCTATGGCTTTGACTCACGGGCTTTCAGTGCTTCTTTCCCTTTTGTTGAAAAGAACTTCCTCTTTTTTTAATTTTTTTTTTTAAAGAATATCTTTGTATGTTTAATTTACCTTTTTGTCTATTGGTCTTTTCTTTTCTACCACCCTCTTCTCTCTCCCTTTTTCAATGAAAGCCATGTCAAATTAATCACTGGATTGACTGCTTCATCTTTTTATTTTTAAAGGATGGTATACCACAGTTGTAAAGCAATAAGATTTGAGATGAACACTATGGAAATGTTGCTTTTTGCTAAACAGTAGCAAGTTGAACAGTAATCAAAAAACATAGAAGGATTTTAGTTAAAAATGATTGCTTCTTTCTCTACTTGGACTTAAAAAAAAAATCAGTTGTCATCTAATACAAGTTTATTTTTTACCTTGTGGGCAGGGCAGGGAGTGGGTAACCTGACCTTGTGTAGAGTGGGTTTTTTTTTTTAAATTTCATCACTTGTTATCTCAAAGAGATTCAGAGCCAGTGATCACCAGTTAATGTGAAACTTGTTCACAAAGACTTGAGATTTTTTTTTCTTTTATGAAAACAGAATTGAAATTCTTTTATGCCATAAATGTGTGTGCATTCAGATTCCATGAACTGTGCTCTGTTTTTATTTGCGGATAGAACTTTTCTTTTTCATACACTTATCTTCCCATTTCTTCATAGAACCATGGTATGAAGTGCATCTCTCGGCTTCCTGCTACCATGTAGGATGCCACTGCAGACCCACCCCCAGTGCCTACCAGCCCTGCTGGAGGACATGATTTCTCCTGGCTCTGTCTTCACCTACTTCACGTCCTATGTTTGATGGGAGTGTGTTAAGTGGTGCTCCCACGCATTTAATTTGCTTTTTTTCTTTTTACTGGTGTGTCTGCTTACTGCTCATGTTGCTTGTTTGGAGTGTAAGGGGTTCCACAGGGCTAGAGAAAGCATGCATTCAGGAGACCTACGTGCGGTTAACAGACTTGACATGCCTTATGAAAGCAGTCAGGAGATAGACCTGTGCGTTCCATCCTCCACATCCTGATACCATGAGCTTCTGGAAGGAAGGGTTAGGGGCCTTAGTGTGCTGAGAAGTTGAAAAATTAGTGAAATTTAACCTCTGCCTTTTTATCTAGATTTGCTTCCTCAATATTTTACTTATGCAATTTTCTTTCTTTTAATTACAGCATATTTTGCTCTCGGACAACATAGCTTTCTTACAGATGTTCCTAGAACAAAAGGTTATTTAAGGAATAGTTTTACTCTGATTATTAAGACACTTTAAGAAGTATTCTTTGTGATTTAAAAAAACAACATCACCTAGTGACAGTCGCTTCACTGTTGCACTATGTGTTAAAGAATGAATTTGAAGATTTTAGTACTTGGCCAAAAATGCAAAGCTTGAATATAAATAGCAGTTGGATTGTTATCTAAAGGCTATTCTGTTTGCTTTAGTGGGTTTGTTTAGGTACCCAATTTTAACAAGGTGTGTGTTCTAGCAAGAGACCGCTCAGTGTTTCCACCATGCACTTCTATACTTAGGGGTTTATAACTTTGTCTTACATTCCTAGTAACATTTGGGCTTTCTTAGATTATGTTTTGTGAAAATCAGTGGTGGGGAGGGGGTCTTTTAAAACTTTAGCCTCGGTATTTTATGTAACAGTCTCTATATACTAATCTGCACTAACATCTATGTGATACAGGCACATATTTTAGAGGTAATTTTGTCTTCTAAGTTCCTTATGTGCATTTGGTTAGGCTTTTTGTTTGCAATCCCTTTTTTAAAATTTAATTCATGATATTGAAAAACATATATTTCTAATAGACTGGACAAAAGGATCTGTGTCCCCAAGTGAGAGACAGGCTCTGAATGACCTTTGTTTTCTCTACTTTTTATTGATTTAAAACACTCTAGTCTTCCCCTCAAATCGTGCATGCACATAGGAGGGTAGCTGTGGTGTCTGAACTGGAAACCGGTGCTCAATAGTCAGGCTTGATGTGATGTGAGGCTCGGTTACAAGCTATAAGCTGATAGTGGCTGGCCATTGGCACCACCCTTGACTAATCTCCCTCTTTTTCCCTGGCGTGCCTATGGTGAGATGGCAGTAGCTTTCACGGCCTTGTTTGCAGTGCTCAGGAAGTGGGACATTAACCTCGAAGGTGCTTGTTGTGCTAACTTAATTCTCTGTGTTAGCTCTGCTAGGTTTACCTCTGAAACATGGATTTCGGCAGCTATGCTGACTGACACTACATCCTAGTTCTTACGATTTTTTTTTTTCTAGACTTCTCTACACACACACACACACACAACTTGACATGGGTAGTTTACATATTAAGTCTGTCTGTAACTTGCTGCTGCTTTTAGCCCTCCCCACCTTGGAATCAATGGACTAGACCCAAAGGATACATTTTAATTTTAGTAATGGTAGATTTGTCCTGCTTTCCACAAACCTGCCTTTCATATCTCCACTCCCTATTGAGTCCATAAAGGAAAGTTAATGGGTGAGTCCTCCTTTAGGGAGGTAATGAGTGGAAATCTTTTTATCTTGAATAGTAGTTGATTTCCCATAAAGGAGGTGTAATGTCTTTTTTCTTTTCCACAGTAACTGTTTGCCCCGGGTTGAATCCTCAATTCAATACTTATTCTTGGTACTGATTCAAGTAGCTTTTTCTTCTTATAGGTAACTAATCCAGAGGAATTGGAAGTTATAATCCAGTAAGGTTTTTGACACTCTTGTGAATATATGTGGTCAGCTAAACTGAACTTGACACTGTTTTCCCCCAAACATTTCTTTTTTTAACCATGACCATTCAGGTAACAAGTGAATTTTAGAGTACCGGTTGGAGAAAGGGAATAGTTCTTTAAAGAAACCAGTTTAGAAGATGCTTTGAGAGTGTTAGGCAAGGGCAGAAGTTAACACCTGGAGCGACAGAGAGCTTTATGAAAGGCCATGTGGCCCTTGTCACTGTTGTGAAGAAGGGGAGTTGGAATGGTTCTGTGCCCGCTTCACCTGTGGCTGCGCTGAGAAGCAGAAACGTCACCTCAGGAGTTTGCCAAGGGAGAGCCTGGGCTCTGGGCTCCATGGCACTCAGGCGTATTTGCTGAAGCAAACGAATAACACGTTTCCTACCAAGGGACAGAGAAAAGCTAAAGATCTGGTTGCTCTTGAGGTTAGAAAATTGTCCTTTTCTCTGTGCGTGGCGCTGGGTTTATTTTGGAAAAGGTGTTAGTTTATTTGAATATTGGGACATCAAGCTATCTACAGCCAAATTTGAATCTGCAACCCATTTTCCCTTGGTCTTGGGATAAACTTGATACAAAATGACTTTGAATCCCAAATCCCTAAGTCACACTTCTTTTTTTTCAAAGCCTAGTTCACAAAATTCACAGTGGTGCTGACTGTGTATTAACCACTATTGACAAAAGTCCCCTCAACCTGCCTGTTGCCATGCCAACGGAGTGACTGAACTGGTGACATCTGTTGGAGCATGCTTTGTGTGGCTGGTGGAATGCCACCATTGTGCATACACTTTGTACATCAGGGGTGAAGGGGGGGTTTTCTAGATTTATGGGGGGGAGGGTAAAACTTTTTTTTGTTTTTTTGATGGGAGTGGGTATAGTACTTAGCTTACCCCTAAATAACATGTATAAAAACCCCTGAAGTATTGTGTGGGTGTGGGTGTGAGTGTGTGTATATGTCTGGCAACTAAACCGTTGTCTTCTGGAAATTAGTGAATTCTTTTTTCCCTCCAGAAGTATTTGTTACAAGATTTGTAAATAAGAGCTCTACTTAGTTTGTTTACCATGACCATGTTGCAGCAAACCTTAAATACCTAATTCCTGTAAGATTTAAGGAAAGACTTGAAGACGTGTCAGGTTAAGCAGCAGCACGTTCTCAGAAGTTGTTTGCCTTGATTCATCTTTCAGACTTCATTTGCCAGCTCTAAAATTCCCAGTCTTCCTTAATTTTAGTCCTTAATCTTTTACGTTCTGAGCAGGAAGGGTAAAAGAGGAACCTGCGTAAATGTGTTTAATTGTAAGTCCATGGGCTGAGACCGGGGCATCCCTTTCTTAATACTGCAATGTTGCTAGATATGTGATCAGACACCAGAGGGTTGGGCGTTCTTGCAATACCTTAACAGTGCTGAGATCTGCAGCATGGTACTAAGGAAGTTAAAGTTTGAATGTAACCACTTTATTTAAAAGTTGTTTTTTATTTAAATGAAATGGGGTTGAAATGAACATGATTTTGTTCGTGAATTATAGATGCAACATACATTGGTAGACGTGTGATGGTCTTTTGTGATACTTAATTTTTACATATCCCAGTCTCTGTATGTACCTGCATAGACAAAAAAAAACCAACAAATTTCTGCTTTCTTTATGGAAGGGTTTCCAGGACTGCGTGTCTGCTCCTGAGCTCTGTTTTAAGTATGTGTATCCTTTGCTTGTATTTTGTATTAAAAAATAAGGAAAAGAACCCTTTATTGTTGAGCATGTTGGCATTGTCCCCTTTACTTTTTTTTTTTCTCTTTGGGACATGAAGCAAGTTATTCTTTTTTTGTATCTTTTTTTTCTTTTGTAAACTTTGTTTTGTTTAAAAATGGCTTTATAAAAGGGCTTTTATAACCCAGATATGTGCTCTGTGTACTTCTTGGAATACTCACGCAAATACACTGTCAGCTGATCGCCTGGGCCTATCAGCTCCCAGGCCAGCCTCTTGGGGAAAACCTGCTTCCTGTATGAATTGTTTAGGCTCTAACAGTGACCATCACTCTTGCTGGTAACAAGAAAAGCATGTCTTGTCTCAAGTCAAAGGGTTACAAAGTGTGGAGTGCAAAATTCTTAATTTAGGATAATTATGCTCACAAAACATTTGCATTCAATTTTAAGTACCCATAGGAACTACATTATATTGCAATTTTAGAATAAAATACTACTTAGGTGGTGAATATGGTAGAGTGTCCTATTTAGAATTGGGCTGATATTGTAGCTAATCGGGTTTTATTCTTTCCAGCCTTGCCCCTTATTTACTACATTCTTGCCTCGTCATGCAAATATTTAACATATAAACTAAGCTTGGCTTTGAAATTTAGTGTTTTTTGCATGCTCTTGTCCCTCTGGCTAATTTCTTATAGAGTTATTTGTCCCAGGTGAAAGTTGACTTTGG